GTTTGGGGGCTTTTTAAAAAAAAAAAAAAAAAAAAAGAAAGGTAATATTGCTGAGAAATTCCACAAATGAAAAGCTGAAGTTTTCAGGCATGTTCTTGAAACTTTTTTTTCATAGTTCTTGCAGAAACCCTTGGTACACTTTTAAAAAGCTTTAGGGAAGTGTTTGTGTATATGTGCATACATGTACAGAAAGATGTTTTGGTGGTGGCTGAGGTGGGAATAGGCTTCTTAAACTAAACTATTTTGATGTATGGAAAAATGTTGTAGTACATTCTGCAGTACATTTTACAAATATTTTTGTCATTTGTCATTTGGCTTGAAGGGTTTCTGTTTTTTGTTTGTCTTGGGAGGGAATTGTAGAATATATTATGCCAAGTGTGAAGGCACACTCTTTTTCCACTTCTTTCTATGCCAGCAGCTTAAGAACGGAGTTTTTGTGTTTTTTGTGGGCTTCAGGGAAGCATTCTTAATGTGGGGGGGACTTTTATCAAAAATATGTTCTTAGGTATTCTAGGTCATGAGCACTAGGGTCATCCTGATTTTTGTTAATGAAATGCTATAGCTGAGGACTATCCACAGGCCAGTAGTTGAGGTAGCTTAGAACAAGTCTGAGGAATCGCAGCAGTCAGGGCTGTATTTCTCAGCAGGTCTCTAGGACTTGTGCTCATTGTTGTATGGGCACTTTCTGGTTCTGATGATGGTGGAGACTGAAGAATGCAATTGCCATGCTGAAGAAACATAAAGTAGGGCAAAGTGTGGTGAGGATGGACCATTCAAGATTAGGACGAGGTCCTTTAAATGAAAAAATGTTGATAGAGAGCAGTTTAATATGGAACAAGAATGGCATATGCAAAACTAACTCTTTAGGAGATAAGGGAGCTACCACAGTCCGTTTGAAGAAAAGGCTGTGATTCTCAGTTATGATATTTTCTGTCCATTATTTCGGCAATCAAGTGTTTCAAGCACTTTCATTCCATCCAGGAAGAGCACACACCAACTGCTGAAACTTCCTTAGCCTGATGAAGGGTTTTTGAACCCGAAAGCTTGCTTAATAATTGTTTTCCAACTATTTAAGTTGGTCTAATAAAATATATCAGATTCACGCAAAGAACTTTGTCAAGCACATAGTGAAATTGCAGTTGTCACAAAAGAGCTTGTAATCTGATAGAGCAAAAGTGGGAGTGAGGCAATGTGCAAAATCAATGCCTTATTGCTTTTAAAATAACAACTACTCCAGCTGTCCCTCAACCTACCCACTTCTAGTTTGTTTTTGTTTTTTTTAAACTGTAGCTTTCAGGTTAAATTTATGCCTTAATGAAGACTTTGGAAAAAGAATGGTTAATATACAGAATAACTAGTTCAGAAGCAGTAGGGAAGAATGTGTGAAGGTCACTGGAAAAAACTGATAATGCGTAAGAGAGGAATGATGCTAGCATTATTAATGGGGTGCACCACATAAGTGTAGATAGAAAGTGTTATGTAGAGCCTTGGCATGACAAAGTGGAATTGAGTTGATGCCCTGGATGTCAGAAAGTCAGTGAACTGCTTCGGAGTGAGAAGATGCAGTGTCAGTGCAGTTGCATAAACGTAACAAAGTGAAGGATATGGCCCTGAAAGCATTAAGTAAACTTTTTATTGTTTTTTTTTTTTTCCAGTTGCATAAGGAACATTTTTTGTGTGATTATGCAATTGACTTGTTAGATATGTTTTAAATGTTTAGAATATTTTAAAATAGTTACAAAAAGAAATTCAAAGATGTGAAACTCATGCATGTTATATGTCTTTCTGGGGATTAAGCCTAGGTACTAGTCTGGCATTTCTATAATAATAAAAATTTAGCTTTGTTATAAGTTTACCTTCATTAAAGTATAATTTAATTGATACTGTGTTCTTTTTTACATCAATGGAATGTAGTCATTGGCTCTTCAGGCATTTCTTTGTGTGTGACCTAAGAGTTGATTTAAACTGCTTAGACCACAAGTAGCAAACTGTTGTTGTTTTTGGTTTTTTAGTCTTGTTTATTCTTATAGCAATTCAAATGTCTGAAACTTAAGTGAAATCTGCTGAAGTTTTTTCTAATAATAGCTGTATATTATCTTTTCAGGTTACTGCAGATGATCTCTATTGACATCTTAAAAGATAATCTATAGTACTAAAAAAAGTGTAAAATGAGGTGTATCAATGAAATGACACATTTTAATTATTAAAACATTGAATAAATAATGCAACCATGTTAAATCTCTTTCATGAAATCCTGAGCAGGTTTGAGCTCAATTTGCTTTGCAGTTACATTATACAGAAACCAGTTACGCTCATTTATTGAAGACTAGGGTGCTCCATTTGGATTTTGATCTATTGCAGCATACCTCTGTTCAGCATATTTGCTCTTTTGAGGGAAATTATGCTCTGCCCTGATTTTTGTTTTGATAAATATTTAGAATCACTTCTTAGATTATCAACTCATACTATTTTATGTCATATTTCATACAAAGATCTTTAAACCTGTATAAGGTAGTTTAATATAGATTAACTTTAAACCTGTATAAAATGTTTATATAATCTTCTGTGGCATACATCACACCTCTCACAATTTTGTATCTGGTGATAGTATACCGTTGAGCTAAGAGGCAGAAGGAAATCTTTTCCTCTCCCAGGTATGTGACAGATCAAAACACTTTCTGATTTGATGTTACCTTTTCCTGTTTGTAAAAAAGTTACTTACAGTATTGGTTTGTTTTTAAGGATCAGAAACATACAGTGACCTATTTACAAAGATTGTTCTGTCCTTCATCCTCTTTAGTAATTGACTGT